GACTTATTGTTGGAACAAAAAAAAAAAAAAAAAAAAAACTGCAGCTTACAAGTAGCAATCTACTTGAAAATATTCTCATGTTCTTGCCATACAAAAACTCTTTCATTTAATTTAGGAAAGTCTTCATCTTTAAATTATTTAAATTAAAACTCCAGCCAAAACATTTGGTTACTCTTAAACAGTGAAAGACCACATAGAACGTCTTTCACGTTTTTCTTTCAAAAGGAGATTAACCCTAAAGTTCCGAAAGAAAGGAAGATTGCTGGCATCACGGTCAAGTGCAGCAAGACATCAGCTGTGTTAAGACATTGGTGTATACAGTACAAACAGTCAATGCATTTCCGCCATAACTTCCTTACTCATGACATGTTGACTATTTGGGCTGTATACATCAATGTATTAATAAAGCCGACGATCTTCATTTCTTCAGTTATTCAAGGGACTGCAATCCTGGTCTGAGCACTGGCCATTCAGCCATGGATGTTTAACTAAGGTGGTAGAAGTGCTGCTTTTTGTTTCTAGTTGAACCCTAAAGTTCTTTCCTGTGGAAGTGAGAAAATCCCCACAACAGGGACACTGGTTGAGATTCTAGTTCATTAAAATGGAGACATTTGCTCTGACCACTAAAGTAATTGATGGGGGCATTAATGCCACATGGGGGATTTTAATTTTATACTCTTGACTCTGATGTGCATTGATTGTTACACATATCTGGATACCGAGCTTTATACACGATGCTGTATTTTACATAGACCTGACTGATGCATTTTGTAAACTGTAAGGTGTGTTACGTACTCTGGACTGTTCCACTCTGTAAGATGTGATGCTGGTCACATAATCCTGACCACTGTACTCTGTGCTGTGCCATATGTTACATACTCTGGACCACTGCAACCTGTAAACTTTGCTGTGCATTACATACCCCTGACTGTTTCACTCACTGTGCCCTATGTTACACAGTCTTGACCAATCCTCTTTGTACGCTGTGCTGTACGCTGAAGTACATACTTCTGAGCACTGAACTCTATAAGCTATAATGTACTGTATATTATATACACCTGACTTCTGTGCATGAAAGTTGTGCTTTATATGCGTAGATAGTTGCTGAGCAGTCCCCAATTATTTATTAAAGGTTTTCGATAATAAGAAAGTGTTAACTCTATATTAATGTTTTGAGTGCAGTAAAGTATATAAATTAGAAGAGTTCCATGGTTATAACATTTTGTCTTGAGGTGCTTGTGAGTCTGTGAGACTCTAGCTTGGGGCATAGTAAATAAAGTGTTACTAAACCCAGGACCCTGCATTCACTATATCTGGTCTCCCACAGTACACAGAACATGGAAATGCAATTATTTTAGTAAATATAAACTGCTAAATATCCTTTTTCATCAGCAGTTAGAGCAGTCTTGTGACTTCTATCAGTGTCCAGCAAAGCACTGGTTTGTAGCAGGATTTTTCTTTCTGGTCTAGGAGGATGCAAAACCCCTGATCTCTGTCTGGACAGTGCTGGTTGGCCCTGTGCTGATCACATGCACTCTCCCAAGAAAACAAAAAACCTCTCTAGCAAAATATACACTAAACTGAGCTTGTGCAGAATGGCTACGTTTCAGTCTGTCTTATCAGGAGATAAGACGTAGACATTTGAACAAGAGGAGCAGAGAAGTCAGGATCAAATGGCCTTTTTACACAATACAGAGGATTAACCCCTTAGGTTCCACAGTGAGTATAACAAGCATGCTTTACTGCATATACAGACTGATTTTACTGTTGTGAGTTTAGTAACACTTTAATGCTTATTTTGTGGGTACAAGGAAAGTGGCATTAGTTATTACATTGAGTAGGCTTTGCCCCTTTCAATCACTCCCGCTTTTACAGCAAAATAATTATTCATCTGTATTTCTGTCAGGCTTGGGATCTGAATCCACATCCTCTGCTGTGTCCAGTAGCTCTTCTTGCTGAGCCACCTAAGATGCTGGAAAACACCTTCTTTGATCCTTTGGTCAGTCCTGCCTTGTCTCTTGTTTCTGGTGACTCTTTAGCTTTTTCCTCCTCCCATGAACTTCCTATTTAAATCAAGCCTTTCCTCTTTGTCATAATATTGTGCTCTCCTCCAGACAATATCTTGCTCTTGCCTCTACTGCTGCTGTCCATATCTTCACTACCACTGGTTACTGCCCTTGGCTTGTTCCTTCACTATGCTTCCACTTGATCCCAACCTGCAACCACTTATTACCGATCGTTGGCTTATTTACTGATTATGCTTCTGCTTGACCCTACCTGCTACATCTGCTCCTGGACCCCAGCTTGCTCACCTCCAGGTGGGGCAATCCTGAGGACCGCAACCTGGTACTAACATGCAGCAAAACTCATCTCCACCATCAGGGAATCTGGTGAATATGGGTTAGACCCCACACCTTGGGTGAGCCTGTGAGTTTACTTATCCAACTGATCAGTGGGAGCCTCTCTGCTGTTGTTGCTACTGGTCTCCAAGTCTGACCCCTGACTGTAATACTTTCACAATTTGAACTATCTTCTCCAGTGGCCACCTCTCTCATTATATATATATATATATATATATATATATGTACATATACTGTATATCAATGTGTGTTTTTCATCAGAAATGTAGGCTTATTCTATCAGCTTCCTCACATGCTTAACTGCTAGTCTTTGACTCAGAATTCTTATCTAAATTAAACATCAAATAAACATGAACAATCATGAAAATCAGGTTGCACTTTGATGATGTCATTCACTTCAACTGAGCCCAGATGGGTGAAATGCTTTAGGGAGAGGTCCTTAAGGCAAGGACTTTGATGTGCATTGTTTGGCTGAGTAAAATTGAAGTGAGTGATGTCACTGGCGTGCAACTTGGTTTCTATGTTGTCCATAGATGGAGCAGGAATGGACTCATTTGGCTGGCTCCTGGTTTGCCCGCAGCAAGAGATGGCACTGAGCACAGGAGCAATGAGAATCTAGAATTTTAGACATGAAGTGAACATGGTTTAGTAGTAGATCATAGGTGTTTCTTGAGGACTGGCACCTTAAGGAGGTACTGTACATCTTAATGTTTTGATGGTACAATCAATATTGTCTTATATCTTCACTTTTCATAACTACACGTCAAGTAGAAATAGCAAAAATTTTTTAAATATTTTGGATAAAGTAAGGATGGTCTATAACCCCTGACAGTTTTTTTGTCATCTGTGTCCCATTGGGGAGATTTCCCTTCACTTCCGGTCAAAACAGCAAGTGAGAGGAAATCCAAGGTTGTCACCAGGGTATATTCCTGTTCTTGTTGACAATCCAAAATTTAGGATTTTCTTTCATTTTCACTATTAGTGACAAATGAAAACAGGACATATAGAGAAAGTAATGCTCCTTAACTGGGGCACAGACAGCAATAAAATGCTGACAGGGGTTATACCCACCCCGCACACACACACACTCACACAAGTGCCCACACACACACTAACTCTATCCAATAGTAACCCCTTGATGCCAACGTCACACAATTATGTGGCCTCATAGAACTGGGCTTTTTTCCGTGGGGCCGCATATTTGTGTACCTGTCTTTGTGCTGGGAGTATGCCGCACAGCGCGCTCTCAGCACAAAGACCGGGGTGTCACTTAGAGCCCCATGTCCCGTTCTAATGATTAGGACCCGGGACTCCTGATTCCAGGTCCCATGATCGCTGTTATAGCCTCTGATTGGCTATCCTGCCTGCTCCCCTTGGTTTTTTTTCTCTCTGAATGGAGGAAAGAGATACATTGTTTCTCTTTCTCTTCTTACAGAGAGAAAAAAAAACAACTATTTGTAAAAAAGAAATATAAATAAATAAATATTAAAAAATAAAATAAAGAAAAAATACCTAGATCAAGGTTTGATGCAGTTCAGTGCCAGGGTTAGTGTTTGGGTCAAGGTCAGGAATTTTTTTTTTTAATGGTATCAGTGTCAGTGTCAGCGTGTTTTAGGTAAAAAAAAACAAAAAACAAAATGCACAATATTGTTTCTAGGCTGTACTACGGGTACAAACAAAAAACATACACATATGGTATCACTGCCATCATCAAGAGCTGGAGAATTTCTTTTGGGTTGTTCTTTGGTGGTAGGTTATAGTAGTAACAAGAAACACACAGCTAAATTTGTTAAAAATTATTATTTTTTTTTTTACTATTTTGGGGCAGTTTTCCTTTGCTAATAAAAAGTATTAGGAGATATTCATTGCTATTTACCACCAAATGAAAGCCCAATTTGTCCTGAAAAAAAAACAAGGTATAATTCACCTGGATATATAAAGTAGTTGTGATGATATGTACGGTTTTACTAACACATGCCAAAGCTGTAAAATTTTACTTAGGCTTTAAGATTTGTTTTACCCTTAGGTGTGACAGGGTTAAAAAGGTTTTGCCTTTAGTTCTAGTTTAATTAGTTTCTGGGTACAATACAAAATAAATTGCTATAGCTAACTAATGTGATCTAGTGAATCAAGGGTAGTGACAGGCACAATTCATTGTAGTATTTCAAATGTATTGTTTTAATCAGACATGCACTGCTATACAGCTCAGAACAAAGGCAGAAAATAAAAGCAAATTAATTTAAATTGATGTACAAAAGAGCCAGTCAATAAATGTATTTGGTCAAAACGTTTTTACATGAATCATCAAATGCTGTCAACATTATATATTCCATAAAATATATAGCAAAATATCCTAAAAAGTAAATGTCAAGCTACTGTAGCTGCCCCGTCAAGGGCATTCCTCCTAAACAGCTGGCACTTGCTCTATCAAAGTGAATTGAGCAGCACAAAGTTGATGAATAACTGTTATCTTTCTGTTTTGACTAATTGTGCACACTATCTAATTGATTCCCAAAACATGAGAAGGGTAAATGCCAACAAAGTGGCCCTTGATGTCGCATATTCATGTCTAATGTCACCTGGGTTTTTAAAGGTCTTCCTTTCTGCACGATACCTAAAAGAAGAGACGGCTCAGGAGAGATGATTCTGGAAGCTCTGAACACTATGCAGTATAACATCACAGAGGTTATGCCCAGCCTGGCCCCAGCTACAGCGGCTTCTGTGGTGGCCTTCGTGTTTCTGTTGATTGTCATCTGGAGTTATGAAGAGATTTCTTCAATACCGGGTAAGTCAATAATAAATACAAGTCCTTCTAAAATATAACTGATTTTTTTTTTTGTATTTAAATGCATTTTTTATTTGGTCATCACAAGTACATTCAGTATCTCATATTTAAAACATTTTTATCATGTGAGAATTAGTTATGTAAAAGTGTTGAAATATAGCTAAGCTATTTAATGTCTAACGAAATTCATTGGGGGTTATTTACTAAAACTGGAGAGTGCAAATCTGGTGCAGCTCTGCAGAGAAACCAATCGGCTTCTAGGTTTTATTGCCAAAGCTTAATTGAACAAGCTGAAGGTAGAAGCTGATTGGCTGCAATGCACGGCTGCACCAGATTATGAGTGCTCCAGTTTTGGTAAATCTCCCCATTTTGTTGCTAATTCTCTTTTTTGACTTTGTGTTTGATGGAGAAAGCTATATAGGACTGAGAGCTTTCTATTAACATGTAATGAGACACTTAATAAGGGTATTGTTAAATAAAAATGACGTTGACTTTCCACATATGTATTTATTGTGTTGAGTGATGGGCTGATTTAGCCCCTTTATTTTTACATGTATTGGATGCTGCAAACAGGAGAGCTCCTATTATAATTCCAGTCTCTATAACTGATCACCTGGGAGTTTTTGAAGTACATTATTATCTAACACAGTACATTATTGTGCACCGGTGATAAAGGTGGTCAAACACTATAGAACAAAGATGATTTACTGAAAGAGTTGGAAATAGTTACTTTAATGATCATTTCAATACTTCAGTTATCCAATCATGTGAAAAGCAAATTAGTTTTTTTTTAATTTATTTAGTCCTGGCACAATTGGGTATTCAAACTGAACGCAGCTTTATTGAAGATTTTTTTATTCCTAAATCAACTTGATTGGTCAGATAAAGAAACAACATGAATCATATTTCTAAATTTTCTCTCCGACTTCCATGGAAACAACCACAAATGGTATTTAAAAAAGGTTCTTGTTACACACATTATTATTATTATACAGTATTTATAAAGCGCCAATAGTTCGTTCAGTGCTGTACATTACAAAGGGGGACAGAACATGTGACAGAACAACAACAATACAATGCAAAACATGAGGGGATCGAGGGCACACATGGTCACTTTCAGTTTTCAGTATCAGAGTGGGCTAAGTTTGCAATTGTGAATGTTTGAAGTAATTTTAGGGGTTGATTTATTAAAACTAGAGAGTGCAAACTTTGGTGCAGCTCTGCATAGAAACCAATCAGCTTCCAGGTTTTATTGTCAAAGATTAATTGAACACGCTGAAGTTAGAAGCTGATTGGCTGCCATGCACAGCTGCACCAGATATTGCACTCTCCAGTTTTAGTAAATCAACTCCTTAGTGTCTTCGCACATTCTAGAAACAAGCCAGGACTCTTGTACGTAGAACACTCCTGATCTCTGCATTGTATGCGTAGCGCACACCCAAACCCTGCATTGTGTACGTAGCGCACTCCTGATCTCTGCACTGAGTATGTAACTCCTAAACCATGCATTGTATGCATAGCGCACTTTGAAACCCTGCATTATGTATGTAGCGCACTTCTGAACTCGGTGCTGTGTATAGAGCGCACCCCTGAACTCCTCCACAGCTGGTAAGTTTCAGTATCAGATTGGGCTAAGTTTGTAATCATGAATGTTTTAAGTACTTTTAGGGGTTGATTTATTAAAACTGGAAAGTGCAAAATCTTGTGCAGATCTGAATAGAAGCCAATCAGCTTCCAGTTTTTTTGGTTTTTTTTGGTCAAAGCTCAATTGAACAAGCTGAAGTTAGAAACTGATTGGCTACTATACACAGCTGCACCAGATTTTGCACTCTTCAGTTTTAGTAAATCAACCCCTAACACCTCGGTCACACTGGATGCGAATTGTCATGCAATTTACATGCCATGCAATTTGCAAATTGCATGCCAAGTCGCACCCTTTTGTCCGCAATTACAGCGGGTATATCGGTGCGGTTCTGACTTCTGACTTAGTCAGAAAGGGAGAATATCACCAGCACACCGAGGATCATCAATATGGGTCCAAAAGTTTAACTGAATAATCACATGGTTACAGCAAGGCAATGTTTCGGAGTCTCGCAGGACCCCTTCATCAGGCATGTGACTGGTGAAGGGGTCCTGCAAGACTTCGAAATGTTGCCTTGCTGTAACCATGTGATCATTCATTAAAACTTTTGGGCCCATATTGATGATCCTGGGTGTGCTGGTGACATTCTCCCTTGCTGATTCTGTTTGGTTACAGCTGACAGTCACTGCAGCACCCACTTATACACACAGCCATTTTTAACGCAGGAACATGTACACTTACATTCCAACTTGGTCAGAGCTGCACCGATTTCCAAAGTAGTACATGCAGTACTTTTGGTGCCCTTTGCATAGACATCTGTGTCAGATGTTTTTCAAATCGCACCTGAAATCAGCAGTTCACCCGACTTTGAAATTGTGCGACTTCACTGTAAGTCGCACCATTTCAAAATCGGGTTTGATGTAATGGGGGTGTTAATGTCCTGGAGCCCATTTATACCTGAGCGTGAGTCAACAGGAGCAATAATAAACCCCGTACTTAATAGGCTGGCCGAGCATCTCAACACATAAACATGACCCTGCATCGGTATGTGCATTGTTGTACACTTTAGAATGGGTACATTGGAAGCTATTGTAGGACATATTGGGGTTCAGTTCTTAAAGGATAAGTTCGCCTTTTAACAAAAAATAATTTTTTTTGCAGCCTCTAAAGCATTGCACCAGAGGCCTCTGCAGCCTCTAAAGCATTATCTACTGATCTCTGGTGGCATGCAGGTCTCCCTCTGACCTGTCAGTATTTCTGCTTGCTCGTACATACTGTATGGGCAGGCAGATACTTACTGACAGGAAGGCTCAATGAGCTACTACGGCGCTGTAGAACGCAGTGCTAGTTCATTGAAAACTACAAGCTGACAGCCCCGCATGGCCACAGTTTTTTAAAATTGTGACAGCTAGCGAGGGGGGGGGGGGAGGTCCCCCGCTAGCTGTCACAACCGGATTGGGGAGAGGAGGTGTAGGGGCCAGTCCATTTGTAACATGTTACACCCTGAATATGGGTGTAACATGTAACATGTTACAAAAAGTAAACTCATCCTTTAATGCTTTATTATGCAATGTAGAAGCATGCAGGAAAAGTGTGGATCCAGCCTTATTGTATTTGGGAATGTCTACAATAAGATAACGCCAGACAAACGTTTTCTGTTTTTTTTATGTGATCAAAATTAAGAAGTTAAATAAATGATGATAACAATGATCAAATGTCAATGCTTTAAACTGATTGTCAGTTAATCTTTTTTTTTCTACATTTAAAAGAACTAAATGACAAAAAAATCAATGTATCCCATATGTTATGACTACATTGAAAACATCAAAGTAATTTATCTCCTGTCCAATCACTTATTTTCTAAATTAAATAAACAGTGCAAGGGAGGGAGGGAAATTTGGACCAAAATGCACCTTACTCAGGATTTGTTTTTTATTAGCTTGGTGTTGATTTATTAAAGACATTTAATTTTTACTTCAGTACCACAAACCTGCATTCTCTTCAAATACCTAATCATATCCAGAAGAATGAAAATATAGCAATTCCCCTTGCATGCGATTGGATGACTGAAATTAACACGACTTTACTGGGATAAGTTAAAATTCTACTTCTCAATCTTTGAGTCAGCTGTTAAATGGTTGCTGCACACATTGGTTTTGCTTTAAGGGGGTTGTTGTGTATGTCATTCATTACCTTTTGCACCATGCTTCAGGAAAAAAAATATGCAATGAAGATTTATTGAGAAACAGCATAATATCAATGATGACTTCGATTGTTAAACTGGCTACATGCTTTACAACTTAAATGATTTCATCTCCTTTAAATTTAGAAAAAGCTACCCATATGGAAGAAAAATATATTTGAAATATATTTTAAAAATATTCTTCCCAAATATATTGCCATATATTTGAAATGCTACAATTTTGGCCATACTCAAAATATATACATATATACACACACACACACACACATATATATATATATATATATATATATATACTGCATGTTGAAATGCATTTTTTATTACAAAATATATGAAAAATATTTTTTAAAATACATTTCAAATATTCTGTAAGTCTTTAAAAATACAAATCTACATTGTTGGAATGCATTAACAAATATATGTTAAAATATATGTTAAAATTACTTTTTTATATGTTAAAAAAAATGAAGATTATATTTAAAAAAAATATATATTTTTAAAAATATATATTTTTTAAATATATTCTTCCGATTTTTTTTAACATATAAAAAAAGTTGTTTTAGCATATATTTTTACATATATTTGTTAATGCATTCCAAAAATGTAGATTTGTATTTTTAAAGACTTACAGTATATTTGAAATGTATTTTTTAAAATATTTTTCATATATTTTGTAATAAAAACACATTTCAACATGCAGTATATATATATATATATATATATATATATATATATATATATATATATATAAATATTTTGAATATGGCCAGAATTGTAGCATTTCAAATATATGGCAATATATCTTGGAAGAATATTTTTAAAATGTATTTCAAGTATATTTTTCTTCTATGTGGTATATATAATAAAAGTCTACCTACTCAAGCCATTTAGTTTATATCTGATCAGGTAAGCACTCACACTTCCAAGTTGCTGTAAATCTAAAGTAGAATGTGCAGTCTGTACAGCCAAGTACAACGGTTTAGTAGTTAGCACTCCCGCTTTGTAGAACTGGAGTCTTTCGTTTGGATCCCAACCAATAAGACTTGCATGACGTTTTCATATTTTTCCTGTGCTTACATGTAGTTCCTCTGGGTATTCCATTTTCCTTCTACACTCCAAAGACATGCTGGTAGGATAATTGGCTCCTATCTAATTTGGCCCTAGTATGTATATATGTATCCATCTGAGGTAGTGCCCTTATATTGTACGCACATTGAGGGCAGCAGATGTAAAAAAAAACAGGTTTTATAACCCTCCCTTAATTTTTCCAAGATGAAAAAAAAGAAGTTTTGCCTTTAGTTCTTTTTCACAAGAGACCAAATGTGAAAAAAAACAACAACCATGGGTAAAATAAAAGCAAATCATTGATATTCCAACCTAAAAGAAATTATGTAGATGTATGTGTAGCTGGTGTTGGAAGAATATTTTTAAATCACTTAAGGATTCTTTTATTCTACCAAAATAAAACAGGATGCTAAATGGAAAAGCATCATAAAAAAAGATCCAAGGTCCATAACAACCAATCCAATTATATTATTATTATTATTATTATACAGAATTTATATAGCGCCAACAGTTTGCGCAGCGCTTTACAAAATGAAGGCAAACATTACAGTTACAATACAATTTGGTACAAGAGGAAACAGAGGGCCCTGCTCGTTAGCGCTTACAATCTAGGAGGAGGGGTTGAGTGATACAAAAGGTAATAGCTGTTGGGGATGAGCTGATGGAGGAAATAAATGACGGTTTACTAGGTAGAAGCAGGATAGGCTGCTTTAAAGAGAAAGGTTTTCAGGGATCGTTAAGGGGGAAAGATTAGGAGACAGCCAGATTGGGGTAGGGAGTTCCATAGGATGGGAGAAGCTTGGGAGAAGTCCTGGAGGCGAGCATGGGAGGAGGTGGATACATCTGTATGTACGAGGGGACGTTTAATTTTACAGGTGTAAAAAGGGAGGCTAGCATGGAGGTAATACACGCAGTAGTAGGTGCAAAGTGTGTCCTGTTAATGATAGGCGGCGCACATGTGGCGGGCCAGTCCAGAGACCATTAATCAAGATGGCAGACAACAGTGTTAGTGCGTGCATGGAGCAGCATGTGGTGATGACGTTTCTTGTGAATGAAGGCTATCAACCCGCAGATATCTAGAGAAGACTTCAAGCACAGTATGGTGATGAGACACTCAGCCACAGTAAGACTTCTGAATGGTGTAAAGGTTTCAAAGATGCCCATATGTCCGTCAGCGACTATCCCAGCCATGGTGGTTCCCAGCAAATAGCAGTCATTCCTGTGAACATTCAGCACATAGAACGCCTGATCCTGGATAATCGATCGATAACCTGTCATGAGATTGCAAAGAGACAAATATTTCTGGGGGTACGGTGAACACGATGACAAAGTAAAGCAGGCTGTACTAGGATGGTTCAAGTGTACTGACAAATCTTTCTGGGGGGAACAGTGAACACAATGATGACAAAGTGAAGCAGGCTGTACTAGGATGGTACAAGTGAACTGACAAATCTTTCTGAGGGTACGGTGAACACAATGATGACAAAGTGAAGCAGGCTGTACTAGGATGGTACAAGTGTACTGACAAATCTTTCTGTGCTGAATCTTTCCAGGCATTAGTTAAATTCTGGGATCTGGGAGTATGTTGAAAAAAAAGGCAGTTTCCACTCCTTGAAATTTGTTCTTTTATTATATAAACTCAGAAGTCCTGTTTTGACTTGAATGCCCCTCCTAATATTGGAAATAGGAGACCCAAACTCCAGCTCCTTTACTTACATAATACTGAACAGTTTTCCTGATAAAAAAAGTCACAGAAAGCAGGAGCTGGCTCATGTCCACCCTTTGTCAACAGTGCTTGTGCTCTTCGTAACCACAAAATCAAACAGATAGCTGTGGTTTGAGAATGTTATCCATACAAATTTCATGGGTAAAGTCAAACTCTAGCCACATGCTTTTTCTTTACTTTTGGGACACAGTGGGGAACGGGAAGAGCCTTGTTTAGTGTTTTTTTTTTAATTACTGTCTAGAGAATATCTACAGATCTCTTCAAAGGGGACATAGATAGCAAAACTTTTTTAATAGAAGAAGGAACCTTTGTCTGGTATTTATTGTCATCTGTGTCACCATCCAAAAAAATTCAACTGATAGGAAATTATAGCAAAGCAGGTTCTAACTCTTTCCAGTCGTATGGAAAACAAAACCCCTTCCTGTCACCCTACTTTAAATTAACACCCGTCTAGCATGTTCCCTGGGCAGGGAAGTTGTTAATTTAAATCTCTGTTTCCATCTGCAGTACCCTCTTGAGATCACTCTGATTTCATCTCCAGCTGAGTGCTTCAGATTGCTGTGGGGGGCCTGAAATATTTGAACAATATCAACTGACTGTTTTGGGGCTTGTTTGCAGCCATGGTTGGAGAGAGGGGGTAAAAACATATGGTCACACCACATTTTTACCTCTCCCCAACCCCTCCCTCTTAAAGGCAGTGGACAGGGTATACAAATGCCACAGATGCAGCAAAAAGGATCCCTCCTGTTCTCCTGCTCTCCAGTATCACTTGCCAAATGTGAAACATTCACTTGACTGTGAGGACATTAAAAGGAGAAAAATGAAGGATGAAAAGAAATCTACAGTTGTTATTGGTAATGAGTGGGTGTCATGATAATATGTGTAAACATTGTCCATATATTTCCAGGTCCTTCCTACTGTCTGGGGTTGGGACCTCTGATTACCTATGGAAGATTCCTTTGGGCAGGAATTGGAAGTGCCTCAAATTACTACAATAGCATGTATGGAGAGTTTGTAAGAGTCTGGATTAATGGCGAGGAAACACTAATAATCAGCAGGTAAGGGAAATATCTCAATTATTTTATCACATACACTTTAGTGAAAATTGAAAATGAAGCCGTGAAAATGATGTGCAGGTGACACAGCCACCCTGTTCAGTACTTTCAATTCTTCATAGAGACATTGTTGTAGTCCACCACCACCTTCCCTGTTGTCAGTAATCTGAAGGTCTGAGAACCCCCACTTGTAATGCAGGAGATCTGTTCCCAGACATAACCACTACAGGCTCCATGTCATCCCTTCCATGCAGAAAGCCTGATGTAAAACATTGCAGTACACAGAAGTTGCTCAGTCACTAACCAGATCGAAACCAGTATTGCATGTGATTGGTGAATGGTAATACGGCGTACTTAATAAAACATGTGCTATGTGATTGTACTGTGGAGGCTTCAGAAATCTCACTTCTAGTGTTCCAGTGTTGTGGCCTCTGGATTCTGTCTGCAGTGAATTCTAAAGGTTTAAAGGTAATTTAGTAACCTTTCTGATTATAGCACATTTTCAGTGTTTTCTGGATATTAACAGCTCACTAACTGCTTTCACTGGTTGCCTGGAATAGCTTTTTTTTGTTTCTTACATAACATCATAAATGAACGGTTGCATTAATAGTTGACTGGATTTTTGTGTCAACGGACCACACAAGTAATGCCAACATAAGCAGACTAAGTCATGTCATCTGCACCACAAATGTAGGCCATCAAACAAACAAATATCAAATAAAAAAAAGAAAAGAAAGTTCCCAGCTCAACTTGCCAGCCAGCTTTCCAACAACCAAATTAACATGTCTAACAGTATGCGTTAAAAACAGGAGTTTATTTAGCACACATTTGCAAATACATATGTAAATTTTCTATTTGGTCATTCTTGTTGTAGGATGTACTATAGCAAAAGTGATATTTTAGAAAGAAAAAAATAATTTGCCAGTATTAACATTTCACTTCTGGCTTCTTATTTCTTGTTTTGTAAAAAAAAACTGGCATAGGAGCCCCCCAAAGATCCCCCCAAAAACATACCAGAATGTATTTTTGGAGGTCCCTGTGCTGTTTTTTATAAAGAAAACCAATCTGCCAGTGAAATATAATTTACTGGCAATTTAAAGGAAAGACTAAAATAAACAAAATTTGAAGCCTTGCCTCCCCACGTTTGATATACATGTTACATACTATTTACAGTGTAAATACCCTTTTTTCTCTTCTTTGGTGCAGTCATGTGATCACTCTATGTCAGTAAGAGGTTTGTTTCAGCTGTGGGAAGCACACTGGAAATGGCCTGTTGTCAAGACTCTCGCTGACACACAGCAGACGGAGCTATGCGATCACATGTCTGCTCCAAAAAAAGTGAAAAAAAAAAATATTACAGTATGCAGCATATTTATCAGCAATGAGGAGGCAAGGCTTTAAACTTTGTTTATTTAGCGGTTCCTTCTACTTTAAATGCCAATTTTATTTCTTTCTAAAAGCGACGTTTGCTGTAGTACATTGCATACATTGTACAGGTGCACCACTTCACAGACAGGTTTGGGGCATCCTCCGAACAATTTATTTATAGGAATTGGGCATTTTTATTTTTTCACTTTAAACAATAATAAAATCGTTATTTCCTGCCAAGCGTTGTTTTAACAAACTGTGTTACTACATGTCCCCCAGCGCAATGTCCATCCCTTAATGAATTTTTTTTTGGCATTGCCTTGAATATTAGCCATGAAAACAGCCAGAACTGATTTTTAAAGATTTGGCACTTATTGACTTCAATATAGTCATCACAGTTTGACTAACCTCATACAAACCAAACCCAGATATGTTCAGCTCATCCCTACTCCTGGGCACTAGCTGCAGAGAGAGAAAGTGCTCATATCCTACAAAAATGTCCCATACAGGCTCTGGAGAGATCACATATATAGAGGACTATGGATCCTCAAAATATGAACACTCTTGCTGCAATATTTAGACTGAATTTACTGATTCTGCCTTGCTGTGCTGGACCCCCTTCATATTAAGAACAATAGATCTGTAAAAGCTACAGTAGGTATGATACTGTACAGCAATATGAAAACCCTGACTCTTATTATTCACTGAGTAGAGGAAACCTGTCAGGCAGTCTGAGGTTCTGCCACACAATTGGTCTGCAGCAAGGGTGAAATGGGCAGTAGAGCAATAAGCTTGTCACAGGTTGGAGTGATTGCCAGCATGCTATTGTTTTTGGACCCCTTCTGTGAGTTACTCTTCATCAGTGCCAATCTTGGTGAGCACTATTCTGTAGTATATTTGCAGTCAGATCTATTGTTTGCATGCTGCTCTTGTGAAAAGGGTGCTCCAATCATTCAAGTGAACCTTAGCCTCTATGTCTAGCCAAACTTACAGTAATGCAGTTTAGTAGATGTTTATATATATATATATATATATATATATATATATATATATATATACACACACACACACACACACACATACATACACACTATATTGCCAAAAGTATTGGGGCGCCTGCCTTTACACACACATGAACTTTAATACCATCCCAGTCTTAGTCTGTAGGGTTCAATATTGAGTTGGCCCACCCTTTGCAGCTATAACAGCTTCAACTCTTCTGGGAAGGCTGTCCACAAGGTTTAGGAGTGTGTCTATGGGAATGTTTGACCATTCTTCCAGAAGCACATTTGTGAGGTCAGGCACTGATATCGGACGAGAAGGCCTGGCTCGTAGTCTCCGCTCTAATTCATCCCAAAGGTGTTGTTCTATCAGGTTGAGGTCAAGATTCTATGCAGGCAAGTAAAGTTTCTCCACCCCAAACTCGCTCATCCATTTCTTAATGGATCTTGCTTTGTGCACTGGTGCGCAGTCATGTTGGAACAGGAAGGGGCCATTTCTAAACTGTTCCCACAAAACTGGGAGCATGAAATTGGCCAAAATATCTTGGTATGCTGAAGCCTTAATAGTTCCCTTCGCTGGAACTAAGGGGCCAAGCCCAACCCCTGAAAAACAACCCCACATCATAATCCCCCCTCCTCCAAGCTTTACACTTGGCACAATGCAGTCAGGCAAGTACCGTTATCCTGGCAACTGACAAACCCAGACAATTCCATTGGATTGTCAGACAGAGAAGAGTGATTCATCACTCCAGAGAACACGTCTCTATTGCTCTAGAGTCCAGTAGCAGCGTGCTTTACACCACTGCATCCGATGCTTTGCATTGCACTTGGTGATGTAAGGCTTGGATGCAGCTGCTTGGTCATGGAAACCCATTCCATAAAGCTCTCTACGCACTGTTGTTGTGCATTTGGAGTTCTTTAGCTATTGACTCTGCAGATAATTGGCACCTTCTGTGCACTGTGGGCTTCAGCATGCACTGACCCTGCTCTGTCACTTTACGTGGCCTACCACTTTGTGGATAACTTGCTGTTTTTCCCAGTTGCTTCCACTTTGTTATTATACCACTATAACAACAGTTGACCGTGGAACATTTAGTAGCAAGGAAATGTCACGGATGGACTTATTGCACAGGTGACAACCTATCACGGTACCACGCTTGAATTAACTGAGCTTCTGAGAGCGACCCATTCTTTCACAAATGTTTATAGAAGCAGTCTGCATGCCTAGGTGCCATGGAAGTGATTGGAACACCTGAATCCAATGGTTTGTAGGGCTGGCCCAATACTTTTGGCAATATAGTATATGTCTTGAATGTATTTAATCTAGTTGATGTGTCTATTGCCGATCCATAATAATGTCAGTATACAGTTTTAATAAAATAAAGTCAGCAGCTAATCTGGTTACATACAGTAACAGTTTGTTACAAAATGGTAAATATTTAGATTTGAAAATACAGTTCATGGGCCTCCATTACAGTGTGTCTCCTACAGGATCCTGAGACCCTGAGTGGTTTAATAACATATTAAATTCTCCCTTTGCTACACAGCTTCTGACATTACACTGACATCATTGAGATCAAAGATATCACAAGCACAGATTATAACCAAAAAGGACCCTAGGCAGGCTAACAATGTTCCCCTTTACTCCAAAATGTGTTATCACCCATACAGTGCCAGGACAAAGCCATAGAGTGCCTGGATGAAAATGCCAAACTGTGACCCCGGGCTGGGTTATTATGCATGTGTTAGTGTCTTTTCAAGACAAGAAACATTCACACATTAATAACCTCCAACATTGATATCAATGAATGCAATATTCCCAAGATTGTTGTTAGTGACTGCAGTAACAACCCTCACAATGGTGGCAGTGAGGGTTAACCCCTTGCATTAGTTGTCAGTTGCACTGCTTTTAAGCACCCCCCCCACACACACACACACACACACAGACATGCATACACGCACGCACACACACATACACATACACATCCACTCTTGAAGTGCGTGTGCCACTCACACAGCCTCGAACAACTCATTGCAGCATCGCCATAAATCTTGCCGAATCATGTCAAGCAGATTTTCCCAGTTTCACACAGAATTTCACATTTGCTCTTTGTTCTCACTTGCTGTCCATGGTGAAATAGCAGCCTTGGTAACGCACGTGGTCAGAATAGCACCAGTTGCACAGCTCCTGATTTACACAGGACAATGTTTTTTTGGCACAATGACTTATGAATGTCGGTGCTCCCTGTGACTTTGAGTGCAGCCTTGTGCTGCCAACTGTTGGCGTGTTACAAAACTAGTGTCAAAACATTTTGAAACCACCTCATACATTAATGGTCAGTGGCAGTAATTACCACCCTTCTTCCTGCATTGGTGGTTAGCGCAGCACCCCCAAGTGTTAATTTACCTGCTCACCTACTCCCACTCCACTTTCTATCTTTAAAGATGTCAGGCTGGTACTTTACTTCTACTCTCATAGTGCAGACAATAGCATTTTAATTCTAATGTCAGGTCATTAATTCTAATGACAGAGTGTCCCGGTACTCTGCAAGGTGCCCTGTTGGAGGAGGAAAGGGGCGATGTACACGACCATCACTCAGATGGGGACCTAAAGCAGAGCTAAAGTAAATATTG